GATTTTCTATGGTTGAGAACAGAGTCAAATGTTGGGTTGACTTCAGTTGGGCTGACTACTGGTTGGACTGGGTCAGTTTGGACATTGACAGCAGGGAAAATCGCACGTAACATCTGTTCGATGTCAAGCCTAGGTACGGCACGAGTCGCGCAATGCACAAAGTTGTTCAAAAGTGGAGAACGATACTTGCACCCTTGGCCACTAGCTTATCCGAGGATATTTTAACCTAGAATATTCGAACCTAGTATCTTGGTTAACAAGGGGGCTAGTTCCTAAAACAGAATTGACATTTCGTATACAACTAGACCAGCGAACGATCGATCCTCGGGGTAAACTCGCGAGTAATTTACCGATCGCAGAGGGTGGTGTTTCGTCATCTTCGCGAAAGGGAATTATCCAGCCATAGTATCGGCTCTTTTATTCACGTGAGAGAAGATCGTCAGACTAATTACGACTCCGTTGGCTAATTAGAAAGGGCTATTTCGTTGACAGAGTGTGGGTATAATTAATAACGCTTGAAATAATCGGCGAATGCGCGACGCGTTCGAATTACTCCGGTTATTGGGCAATCCTCGATAGCTACTATAGGTGAACGGGCGAAGAGATAGACGGATAGCCGATTGATCGTGGATTTTCGCGCGGTGTCGCAGTGGGAAACGGGAAAGTCGTTAGGATTTATCGGGTTCATGAGTGGCATTTTATTGTCGAGATCTCGCGACGCGATTGAGCGTGACGTAAAGCTGGCGATATATCACGCGAACTTCTTTAACGATTATAAACGATTAGCTGAAATAGAGACAGCGTATTCAAAGTGGCTAAACACGCAACAACAAAAAGCGCGAGAGCTACCGTGGCGCCGCCTGGAACAGTCCTTGCGCAACCGAATGATTAAAAGGGTACCAGTACCGTGCAAACCGCGTGTTTCGCACGCTAGCTGTAAAGTGTAGCTGCTCCTCCAACGGTTCAACGCGTTTTCACGATGTTACATCTCGAATCCTCTCGACGGATAGCATTACACTTTCAGCGCGAGCGAACGCATCGACGAGTTGTGCAAAAATACAATGGCGACCGGGGTTAACGCGATTGCTAATATCTCTCGTTAGGGGTGATACTTCCATCGTGCAAATCCGTGTCAAAAATGTGTGCATCGTTACAAATTCCGTGCAATTTTCGCAGTTCCGAATCGAAAAATTGCGAATATCGAAGAAAATTGATATCTTCGAAAAAATTGCCAAAGGTATGCTTCTTTTTAGTTAGGTTTTGATAAAGAGTTCTAATCTCACGCTCCATGTTGCTAGACGCTTCTAGCGACATCTGGCAATTTCTTGGTTATTCAAATACAACATAACGGTGGAAGACTCTTGCTTCCAAATTGCCGCAAAGAAAGCACGTATAGTTATTCTGACTGTGAGAGATTATTCCAGTAAAACATAACCTATCCACTGTATTTAACCCTTTCGCTTCGGCGGTTCAGTTCGCCGAAGTATCGTCATTGAACGGAAGCGCGCACCAGCATATGCACAGTGCCTGTGGTTTTTGGATATTTCTGTATATTTCCTAAGTCTTAAATAACAACTGTGCTGAGTAAAACAATCGTATACAGATTGCACTTGGATATATGGGGTGCCTGTACCCAGGAGTCATCGCGTGGACGCTGTCTGTAAGCGGCGCTCGAAGCGAAAGGGTTAACAGCAAGATTCTCGAAAGAAACCCTTAACCTTTTCACTTCTGAGTTACGAAGATACTAACAAACACCTTGTCGCAAATTAATTTAACAAATTGAACAAAATTTCTCTCTTAAGAGATGTCAGAACACGTCAGAACAGTTGGATTGCGCTGAGAAAAAATTGTCCAAGCTTTAACTGCTTTGAAATTCATTGACGTTGTATCACGCATGTTGCAGCATGACGTAATGACGTCTGCAGGAGAGAAGGGGTTAAACTTTGGGGAAAACGGCTGTTATTAAATTGGCTCTGGAAATAGAACTAGAGACACCGGTTTATCTCCCTAGGAAAACCCTATGCCCGCGAAGGAAGGACGAGCGCTTGTTTATCAGAGAAATCAGTAATTAAGTTAGGTTTGTACGGGGACGAAGGTCGATTCGAAGACAACGCGCAAACCCCGAGCTGGATCGCGGTAGTCGTTCTCCGTGGCATCTCTTATTAAATCTCGACGCAGAATTATTATTAAGCGTGCGCTATCGTGGCGCCGACCATCCTTCCAGGCACATACTTCGCTTTTATCCAGGGCTAACGTCTAGGGAAAGTATTATCCGACCCAGTGCTCCGCGTGCACGCGCCCCGTGCTCTGGAATACTCCCTTGAATTCAGATTCATCTATTCAGATTAATCCCCTGACTCTCCGCCACGGATATAAATTCCCGTCCGCCCCCCTCCTGCAATCTTGCAACCGTACGGTGAACTTTCCACCCCATCGCGATGCATTTTTCATCGCGTTTCCATCCTCCGTTTTATACATCTGCCTACGAGATCATCCGCGAGAACCTAACACGCGTGTCTTCTGACTATTTCTCGTTTATTTCTCGAGAATCTGTAATCGAGCCAACGACAAAGTCTCGGATCTCGAGAAAAATAAAGAACGCGCCATGACACACCGTTCTTCAACCTGGGTCCAAATTCGCATACCTTGGGAAGTGCTCGGAAGAGGCAGGAAGCTTCGCAATTAACATTCCCGGCGCAGCAGAACGCGATAATAACGAGTAACAAACCCCTGGTTTCCCCCGGGACGAAGAGGGGGGAGGGGGTCGATTAGACCCCGGCGAAATCCGCCCCGACATGATCGTTGGGTACGGAGCTCTCGGTATTTCGAAGTTATCGATTCCGGCGGCGATTCGCAGGCACGGTGCTCCACAAACCTGGAGGCGAGTGTTCGAGGGGCGAATCCCACGGGAGACGCGGTTCGAGGCTGGAAACGCGAGAAATCGCGAGCGAGCGAGGGGAGTTATCCACCATCTCGTCGGTTATTGAAAATCGGTCTTCGTCGAACAAAAGTACGCGAGAGTAGGGAAAAAGAAGGCGAAGAGGGGATAACTCGAGGCTTTATTTGGTGTAGATGGGAGGAAAAACCCAGAATGATTAACCCCTTCCCTTTGCCATTTAGCTCGACGAAATCCGGGACGAAAAGGGTAGGCGTCAACTGCTTTGAAGCAGAGATTATGAGAATCGTGACCAACCCTCGTGACGCACTAATAGGAACTAAAACTCAATGGCAAGACATCCTTCCGTGATATTTGTTTGGTCCGATTTATTATTCACGTGTCTGGTTCGTGATATTCTCGTTCGACCCGACTGACTATCCACGTGTCCGATACGTGATATTCACGTTTGACCCGATTAACTATCCACGTGTCTGATACGTGATATCCACGTTTGACCCAAAATCCTCATCACGAGTCAGACTCGTTAAAGTACAAGAACTTGGTGCGTGGTGTCCAGGACTAATGAAGATTCGTAGCTCTAGCGGTATCTGAATTATAAGAGGTATCTAGCCTCTCGAACGTTCGCCTATAATTATTCGACCTCGTCGGGTATCTTGGGGGAAGTCGAGGAACTTGAACCTATCGCAATAAACAACGGTTATAAAAAGACGCGAGTTCTTCGCGACGCGAGACGAGATAGCTGGAAAGGGAGTGTGCACCGCGGACGTATTTCGTCGGCGCGAGTGTACACGCCTCCTAAATATCCTTAGCAGGGCCGATAGCAATTGGCGAGCGATCGTGGCATAAATCACGCGAAAAAGCCAGCTCCGATGGAAGAGTACTCTCGGCGAGTGGAAACAACTCGTGTGAGAAACACAGACATCGAGATGAAGAGAGCGGGAGAGGAATTTTCGTGATCGTCTCGGTGTTGGCAGCGGGTAGCGCGTGCTGCCGCCTTGGCTACGGCGAGTGGGAAATTTTGTCATCGACAAAACCAGTTGACGGTAAATCACGAAAGGCGTGAACGGAACGGACAGGTCGAACAACCGTTAGCATCGTGTTCGCTCGATATGTAAGAGGACCAGAAACTGGGCCTCACGGTTCCCCGTCGGATCTTGTCTGAAGCCAAACGCACACGCCCCCGGTGCGTGACAGATTCAAGCGGCTACCATAGTAGAGCCGAGCTGCTGGCACATAGTCGCAAATCGAAACCACTCCCGCGGCTGTGCTTGGCCGGTCAGGTGGATGTAAATGAACAGGCCGCCAGGCGTGCAACGATCCGAGATCTAGCGGCCTAGAGCGTGGCAACTGGGAGAGGATTTAGACGCAACACGGCCCTCGGCCAGGGCAACCCGACGGCCTGTCAGACGCAAAAAGTCCTCGTTTTCCGTGGCCACATCGCGCGTGGGCGTGACAATTGGACGTAGAACCGAGGAAAATTATCTGTCGGCTCCCCTAGACAATGGTAGCCACGGAAAGTCTTATCGTGGGCCGGTCGCGTTACTTACGACACGTCCAATGGTCCCCTTTGTAGTTTCTGGAAGCTCGTAAACTTGCTTTTTCTCTGCGGGGTCTCGCGTGGCGCTCAATTATTACCGGACATTCGCTATTCGCGAGGTCTGGCCACGGCATACTGGCGAGAAAACCGAACGGAAATTTACGAGCGATCGCAGAACCCCGGATCACTGTGGACAACGAGATATCGCGCCGATATCTCCGTACGAATGGCGAAAACAATAAATGCCCAGACGATACTTGGCCGCGTTCTTCGAACGAGGGGAAGAGATAACCGGGAGCTGGGCTAATGGTATTCAGCGACAGCGGGACGCATGACTAACCTCGCTGTCGCGGAGAATCTATCGTCGGTCGAAAGTGGAAAACCAAATTCTCGCCGATAAGCGACTCCGTTTGAAGAAGATTCGAGTGGACAGGGACACGGGCAGGGGAACTTTCTCCCGGTGATCCTCCTGTGTCCCTAGGTCGGATGCTGTGTAAGAAATACCACCGTGCAAGCTTGCTATCGGGGTCTCTATCATCGCTATCTTTTCCCGTGTTGCAGGTAACGACTGTGCCGGACGAGGGCGAGAATAGCTTTAAAATGCCCAGGGCTTCCGTGGTACACATGACTTCGACGGCCACGAGACCGCAGCACATGTCACAGGTATCGACCTCTTTTTTTCTCTATTACTTGTCATTATCTCCGTTCCTCTCCTTGCGCGTGTATACAATAACGTGTACTTTACTAGTCCGGACTGACTAGCTCCGGCAGCATCGGCTAACAGTTTTAAGCTAATGGCTGTCCCAGTTAACTTCGACCTAACTCGAGGCACATCCTTCGGCCGCGTATACGAGCTTTTAACATCATGAGAGAAGAAACGCACCGGGAAGCTGCACGTAGCCAGGAAATTCATACTACCAGCGCAGAATGCTCGTCCGAACTTTCAGCGCGCAATGGTGTCCCGACAACGGCTACAACTCGCTTTTGCACGGAACATTTGGCAGATACTAGCATCTACGATTGCGAGACTCTGAGACCCGTTGCAATTCCGCGCCATTTTCTTCCATCTACAGATTTTCGCTGTGCCCCCCTTCCGAGGAGGCAGTTTCGAACGATCGAACGGAAAACAGATCCGGATATCGCGCCCATTACATAATCGCGAATTCTCTCTGTTCGCGTTGGCGATTCTTCATCAGACCGATCGGACATCGGTTGAAAGACGGATTTTATGGGATCGACTAACAGGATTATCGCAACGGCCTGTGCGAAAGCGATTTCCATTAGGCTGCATCTCGCCGCGATCAACGGTCGAGCGATATCGCGACAGATAAAAGGCGCCGCGGGTCTCGCTCAGCGCCATTTTGTTATTGCCCGAGCCTCTGACGGCGCCATCGATATTTGCCCAGCGGAACAAACGGAACGCGCGATACAAATCCGTTTACACCCTTTCGCTCGCGCGATAATTAGATTTCCGGACTATCGAATGCAGGTCGCGCGTCAAAACGGAATCTCCGCGCGCGGGCTCTCTTTCACCCTTCTGCTTCCGGCGACCTGAAATTACCGCCACTCTTTCGCGCCTCTTTCTAACTTTGACGCTGTCCATTATACGCCGATTAGTCGGCGAGGATAATCGCATCCGGCACGGTAATTAGGTAGCACCCGTGTTATCGGATTTCGAGCGGAAAGCGTCGCACGTGCGAGCGTCTCGCGAGCGTCCCTAGCCGCGGCTCCGCCCGTGATCCGCGGACACCTACCGTTCGACGTATTCCTCCGAGGTACAGTGTACGCGTACCAGCTTTGCATACGCGCGTCTGCAGGCATTTGATAGACGCGTGCAACGTGCCGTGACTGCAAATGGACCGCGTACGTCGCGAACGCTTCGCACCGAGAGTCACAGCATCAAAGGGGTTAAACGCGTGCACCGGACTGGGTCACGACGCAGTGGTGTGGACCTAGACTCTGTCAGTGGCTTACAATGGAGCCCGGCGCTGTTGGACGTCGTAAACCAACGGTGAGTCACGTCGCAGCTCCCCCTTTATGCCGATGCACGATTTCGTATTTGTGTAATTGGGCGAGACTAACGCGCGGACGAGAGAAACCGGCTACCGATTTGGTCCGGTCCGGTCGCCGCGACTAACCTGCCTCTACGCTTCCTGGATAACTCCGGCCACGGATCGACACGATCCATCACGCGAAAAGACACTTCCCTTCGATCGAAGGCAACAATCTCCGCTTGATCAGGCCGCGGTTACCGAGACAGAGAGAGAGATGAAGAGAGTTAATATCGGCAAGGCGATCGCGCGTCAGTGTCCAACGACTCGGTGATCGATCGCTTAATCGAGATCGCTTAATCGAGTTGGCGCTCCAGTCGAGGCAGCGGCGTCACGCTTTTCGCACGATCGCGAGCGGCTAAGAAGCTTTGGAAAGCGGCTCGCGACCCACGCGTTATTGTTCGCGGACACGGGACACGAACGTCTCTCCACGGCGGCGGAAAAGTTATTGCGGCGTCAGCGTTTAATGGCCTGTAATACGCTCGCGTCTCGTTCGGGAGGGGCGAGATATCGAAAGTCTATGCAAATTTACGTGGGATCGGCGCCGCGCGTGTCTTTTCGAACTCCTACGCGGCACGCGTCCGGTATCTCGCAGTTCCCTGTCAAATATACGTGGGACTTTATGACAGGTGTATGACTCGCGCGTGCGATTTTCTCCGCGTCGCTTCCGATCCTCGAGATTTACTAAAGAAATCGCGTGCGTCGAAGAATTCGAGAAATTTGCCAGACTCCTCAGCACCGGGCCGCAATCGTTATTTTTGACAGCGACAGGGAATGCTCGGCGATCGGATTATCCCCGTGCCATAATTCGATCATGGGACAATTTCGCCCTCATTCGCGATGAATTGACGCGTTTATCTCGCGATCTTCGAGCGTGGTAATTTATTTCGCGCGAAGCAACCTCGCCGCTACGAGATCGCGCGAAATTGCGCAATAATTGCCGGCACACCCTGCATTATCCGCAATTATAGCTCATAAATAATTATATTCCCGCCGGGCTGACCGACATACGCGGCGAGGAAAAAATTTTTGCCAACGAGGGGAGAAGGTGTAAAAGTCTCGATCGTGTCGACGCGAATATTTTCATCCAGATTCTTTCCAGCACGGCACGAGAGCGTTGATGTCATCTCTATTTTTCGTTGGAGCGCGCGCGCACCGCGGTGGTGCTGATGGATCGGCATAGATCTTGGCCAAGGAAATCGTTACGATTCGAGTAACACGGCAGTGATCTGCACGCTCGAGCGATTTTCTCATGTCACACGACGAATCGTAAGATCGGAGCTACCGAAAGGGACTGTGTTAGTGTTACCATGGCATGCGTCATTGGAGTTCAAACGAGACGTCTACGGGATAAATAACCGAATCGCATAAATCGATCGAATAAAAACTAAATTACGGAATCAATCGTGGAATCTGGAGCGAATTGTACGCCTCGAGATACACGCGTGGCCGAGAGATCCATGTACAGAGATCTATTGGACTGGTTGGACGTTAGAACTGCTTGCCATTTCCAGGATATTAACTCCTTAACTGTCACGCTAAAATCACTTGTTTCGCTTAGGATTTCACGGGACTATTTTTATCATTCGAAGCATATAATGGCAAAATAATAATAAATTGGTGATACAAGACAATATTCTTACTCAATAGAGCGTTTATCTTATTGACAGTCAAGGATGACCACGGGCGGCACCTTGGTAACGGTTGACAATCAACTAACTCTCAATTTTCATTCAATTTTTAGAATTATAAGTAGTTCCAGCGCCTCTAGTCACCAATGACTACAGTGGCATCTTGGCAACGGTCAAAATGCACTAACTGTCAATTTTTATTCAATTTTTACAATTGAAAGTAGTTCAAGCGCTCCAGTCACCAATGATTACCATAGCGTCACAAAAGAAACCGTGACTGGTTATATATGTAGGACTGCATTGAGTACGGCCCTGAAAGATGTCAAGAGTGTTTGAGCTTAGAACGAAAGCGACCGCGAAAAGGATGTTTAATGAAAGCTTAGGGATGCGTCCAAAGTGGTTGCAGTACCTGGCCCACCGAGCTTACGTGAGAAGGGGCATGATTGAGAAAGAAAACCTTAGTATGGCAGAGTCCAGAATGAATGGTTCAAAGCAAGGGTGCAAGAGTATAAAAGGATAGTGTGCAAAGACAGTCTATAAGTTCCAGTTTGGAAAGACAGTTTGACAGTCAGTTGCAATAGTCAGTTTTAAGAAAGATCAGAAAAGTGTGCCCCATAGCGAGTGCCTCTTGTTTCATAGCCAGTCGCTGTCATTCTATTTACGAGCTTATTTCATTCCATCAAGAAGCCAACGATACTATTTCGAGTCAATCCATCCAAAAATAATCCTGCATATACGATCAACCTGACAGTCAAAGTGTCAAGGGTTCCAGGAGCTCGGGGATGCGAAATTTCTCGAGGACTTAAGGGTCCCTGGGTCTAAATGGGAGCAGCTCTATCTATGAGTGTCACGATGTTTGTGTGTTTTACAGCCTCTCGCAGCAACGCGAACGAGCCGCGCGCGCTGACGCAAGCGAGGAAGAGATACGGTGGAAAGCAGTCGCGGTGCCTGCTTTGCAGACGACGAATTTGCAACCTTTATAAATAACCAGCGTGCCGAAAATCCATCGCGCTTGGGTAACTAAACCCGCAATTAATCCTCGCGACCGTGCGAGCAAATTTTTCTGACGGTTTCACAACCGGGACAACGCTTCGAGCAAAGTATCGGCGACATCCTTGCAGGGAACGAGGTCAGGAAATCTTGACTAGTCAATATCGAAACGCGAGAATGCTCGCGTTTTTCGTCGAAAAGGGACGAGACACGCGAGAGTGTAGGCGAGAGAGGTTGCGACAATTCGCATGGCGCGGCACGAGATTCCATCGTGCCGTAATTTCGGCCCCGCGCAACGTAAAATCTCCGGCTTTTAACGCCAGCTAGCTATGGACCATTGTCACGCGGCGGAATACGCTCCCGATCCGCGCGGAGGATGCATGCACGAGCTTGGCAGAAACGTTTTAGTATTCCTCGCAGAGAGGGAGAGACCCGCTTTCGATTTGCGGCCGACAATTTGTCCGTACCGTTGCAACCCGCGCTTCACCGTGATACACATTACCGACATACCTATATTCGTCGATGCTGGAATTCGAGGTAGTCTAACTTGCAAAATTTATGACCGAACGATTAATTCGAAGCGGGTTTCTTTTCTCTGATGCTTTCTGTGACCGACTCGTGGATGCGATTCGGTTTTCCTCCTTCGCTTTTACGAGCCGAAGTTGTCGGGGGGCAACGATGGCGGACAAAGACCAGATGTGCCACTTGTCTATGCTTCCTGGTGCCAGAGACATAGAGAATGACATAAGACGTTACGTCGCAGGACAGAGAAATATTCGGACCTTTTCTCTTTACATCTTCTGTTCCATTCAGGCAGCAGAGTTGCGTGTCAATGCCAAGAGCATATCCGCTATACTAATCCTATTACCGATAAATATATCTTTATTCTGAAGAGACCTCAACGCAAGGGTATCCAGGTAAAATTCGGTGTTTGAGATTGCGAAATCTGGTCGTTTAATTCTTTCCCGTACTTTAACGACTCGTGATGAGGATGTTGGCCCAAACGTGAATATCACGAGCCAGACACGTGGATATCAAATCGGGTCGAACGTAAATATCACGAGCCAGACACGTGGATAGCAAATCGGGCCAAACGTAAACATCACGGAGTAATGCTTTATCGTGACAAAAATTACAATCGTGGTCGAGTATTAGTTCCTATCAGCACGTCACGAGAGTTGGTCACGATACCTATAATCTCTGTTACAAAGTAGTTTAGTTATCGAAGTTTTGACCGCTCGTTGACGCCCACCGTTTGGGCCCGGAATTCCTCGAGCTAAATGGCAGGGGATGGGGTTAATTTTAACTTAATTCAGCTTCTACTCTCGTTTCGTCCTTTCTCTGTGACGATTCGGTTTTCGACAAGGATGCTACAGACTCTCATCAGCTTCTACTCTCGTTTCGTCCTTTCTCTGTGACGATTCGGATTTCAACAAGGATGCTACAGACTCTCGCGTGTTTTCAGGTTCTGGCGACCCTGGCGCTGTCGATGGGAACACTGTCCTCTGGCCTAGCGAAAGGTTACACCTCGCCAGCTCTAGACTCCATCCTGGATAACCAGCCGTCTCACCTTTATCAGTCGTCGAACAACGACACTTGGTAACTACGTTTCTCTGGTCCACGCGCGAAAGTCGTACGCGATTTAAGGTAGCTAACGAAAGAACAGGCAAACGGCTGCATAACACGGGCGACGCAGTGTAAACAGGGAAAGTGAAACTTCGTAAGTAATCGCGAGTTACACATGTCGTGTCCGGTAACGATTAGCGTCGGTCGGTAGATAAGCAAATTAAATAAGCCCGACAAGATATTTCGTCGTACCGGTAATAAAGCGCGGGCGAATATCTTAGATAATTCACTTAACAAATACATTAACGTCGCTCCGTTCCGTTTCCAGCTGGCTGTCGCACACTTTTTTCGCGATAGCGGTTCGGTTTTATCGCGTCTCGCTATAGAGGAAGCACGCCATACGAAGTGGCAAGAAGCCGTGCTCGTTGGTTATATACCCGTGGGGACCAGCGTGTAATATTCGCTGGTTATATTCTTTACGTAACGTCGAAATTTATGCCGGATAATTTGCTTTTGTATCGGCCTAAACGCCGGTAAATCGCAAGCCAGAGGCAGTCAAGAAGTGACACTGGGCCCCGCTTTTCAAATAACGGCTCATTAGCGTGCCGATTAACGTACTTCCCGGTGGAAACTCTACGTTGACAGTTGACAGGCCACCGTGCGGCGGGCCAATCGCGAAGAAATCGAGTTTCGATAGCAATTCTAAGCGAATTGGACGACAATAGAGTAGCGAACTTCAGCTAAATACGACGAAGCATGACGAATTCGCGACTATCCTTGAATCGGTTGCGAAGATCGATACTGAGCGGCAGCAACGATCGATCTATCTGTGGATAGATCGGTCGTTGTGGTTGAGCGGCTTAATCACGGGCACGGGTGACACGGAGAGCACGCGACCTGGTATTAGGTAACGATTAGGTCCTTGCATAACGCTAGACCCTGTCATCTGTAATCGTATTGCCATTTGTCGCAGGTCGGCTTTCTCGGTGACGCAACAAGAGGCCTCGTGGGTCGCGTCGTTGTCGATGTTGGGCGCATGGTTCGGCGCTATGATCGGCGTTTGGATAATGAGGAGGGGTCGCAGATTGGCGCTCCGTGTCACGTCTTTCCCTCTGGCAGTTGTCTGGATCCTTACAGGCATCGCGCCCTGCGTGGAATTGGTCTACGTCACCAGCTTCATCGGAGGCCTCTGCTGTTCGGTGATCACCATGGTAGCCCAGGTATTACCCAGGATTTCCTTTCCACGTTCCATCACCGTTTCGACTCTGTACACTCTCCGCGGATAGACGTCACAGCTAACGAATGTTTCGTTTAGGTATACATATCAGAAATCTCGATGCCTGGTATCAGAGGTTGCCTGTCGGCGATGCTGAAGGTGCTCGGTCACGTCGGCGTGTTACTGTCGTATATAGCCGGCACGTACCTGAACTGGCGGCAGAGCGCACTACTGGTGGCCATAGCGCCGCCGATGCTCTTTTTGGGCACTCTCTTTATACCGGAGACGCCGTCGTATCTCGTTCTGAACGGCAAAGACGACGAGGCTGCCAACAGCTTACAATGGCTTCGCGGTGATCACGTCGACATACGTCACGAGCTGCAGGTAATTTTCGAACGCGTTTTTGCCTTCTCCCTAACCTCTTCCGATATCTCTTTCAACCAGACGACGTTGGCTGTTCGTCGCGCAACGAAAAACCTTACTTCGTAATCAAACGATTTACAGCCTAGCTACTCGCGGGCCTCTCCATCTTTCCAACGATCCATCTTGGCTACATCGACTTCCGTACGATTGTTGCAGGTGATCAAAACGAACATTCTCGCCTCCAGAGCGGAGCAGTATGAGCTGACGTTCAAGAACAGCATGTTCACGCCTCGATTGTACAAACCCATCGCCATCACGTGTGGACTGATGTTCTTCCAGCGATTTTCCGGGGCGAACGCGTTCAATTATTACGCGGTGATTATATTCCGCCAGACCCTGGGTGGCATGAATCCTCACGGCGCCACCATTGCGATCGGTTTCGTGCAATTATTGGCTTCTCTGTTATCAGGTACGGTAACCCGAGCAATTCGTTGTTCCGGGGGATTCGCGAAACGCTCGGTTGCGCGTGAGAAACGTATTGACGAATGACACCTCTGAAACGTAACGAAACGGATCGCGTTTCCGATCGCGTTTCATCGTCGTTTGCGCGGTGTTCGCAGGGTTCTTGATCGACATCGTCGGTAGGCTGCCGCTGCTGATAGCCAGCACCGTGTTCATGTCACTGGCATTAGCGGGTTTCGGCAGCTATGCCTACTACATGCCACAGACGCAGAATCTGGGCTACCCGGACTCGGCGGTGGTTGGCCATCACGACTGGATACCGTTGCTCTGCGTGTTGGTCTTCACGACTGCCCTAGCTTTGGGCATATCGCCAATTTCGTGGTTATTGATTGGCGAGCTCTTTCCCCTGGAGTATCGCGGCCTCGGCTCGAGCATCAGCACCAGCTTCAACTACTTTTGCGCGTTCATCGGAATTAAGCTCTTCATGGATTTTCAGCAGGTGAAAGACCTCGTGATAATCACCGGGCGCATTCGTACCGCCATGCGGCTATTTTTCTATTCTACCATCGCGATTGTTATCCGATATTCCTCGTACACGTTGCAGACATTCGGGCTACACGGAACCTTCTGGTTCTACGCAGCAGTGGCGGTATGCGGCCTGTGTTTCGTGCTGTGCTGCGTGCCAGAGACGAAAGGGAAGCAACTGGATGAGATGAATCCCGGCTACGCGGGTGGAGCCTACCCGAACCAGCACGATCCTCGGGAGCTGTACAACGCGAATCTCTCCATGGATATTCCAATGACGTCCGGTCAGATTGTCAGCTATCGTAGCAATCGTCGCAAGGTGTCCGATTATTGCAACATCTTCGCCCAGAAGGCGAACAGGATCGGCAGGATCCTGGAGAGTTTCATGCTGTCGCACGGGCTGTTCATGGCGCGTCGTTCCTCCGACGAAAATTCACGCAGCAACGCGACCACGCATCGCAGCAACGGCGACGTGATCAGAAACGACTATCGATTTCCGGACCGCGTGGAGCAACGAACGGACGTACGCGAGCAGGATCACCGTCGTTATACCCGCTTCGGCCGAGATGACCAGGACAGATATATCTACTCACGGCAGGCGTACGCGGAGGAAGGATCCGACACGAGCTACGTCGATCGGAACACGGAGATGCAGCCACGACGAGTTGGACAGCGCGATTATGCTACGGCGTACGAGGACAGGGGCAGCTGGAGGAACAGCTCGAGAGATTTAAACGGTTCTAAGCCGATCCCGAGGAAAGGCATTAGTCACGCAAGGGGCGAGAGGCTTTACAGCTCTACGTTGCCCAGACGAAGCAGAACCATCAATTTCAGGGATCAGCTGACCATTTCCATCGAATCGTCCCGCGGCTATCCGAGGAGCTTGCAGGACCTCTCGGATCTCGAGTTGGACGATAGAATCCGCGACTCCAGCGTCGCTTCTTTCCTCTT